TATAGTCGGACGGGGCCGACCATACGATACCCTACACAACTACCATGGAACTCTAACTTTCTGCGGATGTTTATTCCGAGTCTGGGCAGTATTTCGTGATATTTGCTCCCTCTTACCTGATTAGAGGTCAACAGCACCTCTTCCTTACACCGACATATTTTCCGAATATACAAATATTCAGTATAGCGCTTCTAATTACTTTTCCAGATTCCCTTCGACGGAGGTTGTATTGTGATGTTCGGCTTTTAACTGTGGCTTATAGATCAAAAAACACAAAAATTTAAGTTTTTGGTCCATTTCATCCCAAAATTTCTATCTGATCATCACCGAAAATGATAGGCGTTCTCCTTGACTACAACTGGAACCTTATGGAAAATTTTAAAGCGATCAGAGCTATATTTCCGCCCTCTAGTGTGGTAATGGGCAACTAAATCATACCTGAATACATAAGCACCTGTAAATACTTAAGTGTAACTCTCACACCCGAGTACATACGACAATACAATTGGTATCAATTTAAAGGTCACCCACTCCTCTTTGAGATACTACCAACTTCTCGGGTCTTTGATCTTCAGGAGTAAATATATACGCTATAGAATACAAATTTTCTAATTTTTCACACAAAAGTCAGGGTCCATTTGACCCGCTAATTATTGGCCGATCTTCATCAAAACAGGCATGCTTATTCTCTGGCCCGATCCCCTTCTCCATGCGGTGTTTGGGCCATAATTGCGGCCTTTGGAACGACCATAAAAACCGACAAAAATAAAGTTTTTTGTCCATTTCATCCCCTAAATATTAACCGATCTTTTTCAAAAACAATAGGAGTCTTCACTGTGGCCTGTATCGTGTTTACAAATTATAATGGACAGACGGACGGACGGACACACATGTCTAGATCGACTCAGCTAGTCGAGATATGACGATCGGTATACTTAAAGGTGGGTCTAGGACCAATATTTCGCGGCGTTACAAACTTTTGGAGCTGCACAAAGCTATAATACCCTGACAACATAGTTGTGTAGGGTATAAAAATCCACGCCTTAAAAAAATTTCGACTTAAGTCTAGTTTAGGGGCTCCACTCGGATCGCTTTGTCCTCGTTTCAAGGCCCATATCTCGGGAAGTATGCATTTCCCCCACATAAAATATATATCACTGTAATCAGCTCAGCGAGGACTACTTACGGTAAAAATTTCAAAGCGATCCGAGTGGAGCCCCTAAACTAGACTTGTTCCATATTCTTCAAAACATTATTTTTTATCTACACCTTTTTATTGATTGTTGAAGAACTATAGTTTAAACAAATAGTGTTTCAGTTAGTACCATGCCGATAATAGTCACTTTCATTCAAGCCACATTCCTGTGTTTTGTTTTTGCGTTGGAGTAAGTAAATAATAAAAATAAAATGAATTGAATCGTTTCGAATTGAATGAAATCGAATGAAAGTCATCGAAATGTAATGAACTAACTGGGAATGACAAATTGAATGATTGATTGAAAAAATGATGAACATTAATGTTAGTTATAGACAAGGTACTATTCGTACACCCAACATTTTTCCAATGAAGATAGGTTAGAACTTCCCTTCCCCCCTACCAATTTCGTTTATCCTGTTGCTTTACATAGTTAGTTGTTTTGTTTTTGTCTTCCATTATTTATAATTCAAATTTGCCCTAAGCGTTACAACAATGAATATTTATTTGGTATGCAAATAAGAATTTAGGTAAGTGCGACGGGAAATTTGCTGGCAGACGGCAAACGTGCCGACCATTGAAAGTGATATCCGAATGTGGCAACTAAGCAAATTCCCAGTTATTACTATTCAAGTGTCGTTTAAAAAACAGAATAGAAAATGCCTGAAGGGCATTGTTAGCCAAAAAATATGCAGGACAAATTTGGCAAGGAGTCTTAGTAAAGGTGGACACAGATATTTGAAACGTATAACTTCTTTGTCTAATATCGATTATGGTTTTTGGATAAAACCGAATCTTTGTTGACCGAAGGACCTCTATTGAAGAAATTGCATAAGGAATCGATTCGAAAAAAATCTCCTACAAAATGTCGACAACACTATGGTGCCGCATAAACACAAGTAGCTCCAAATAAAATTCATACACACACAGTCTTGTCAGCAGTCTTGTTATTTCATACGTGAGCAGTTTCCTTGGGAAGATTTGTCAAGTGGTCTAAGGTTAATAAACTCGTCAGGGACGACCCGAAAGCAACAGCTTGTTGCTTAGGTCCCCACAAAAAATGCATGGTAAGCAAAAATACTTAGACAAAATAGCACAAAAATAAAATATTGTCCTCATTTCATTTATTTAGAGAGGGAGGAGGGGGGTCATAAATAAAATCCTAAGCATTTTGCTGACGATGATGGACTAGAAAATGTGCGACACTTGCTGGCACGAGGATTGTAACGATGAAACCTTTATAAAAACAAAACAATGAAACTGAGATGGCAAATTTGAGATCTCATTTAAGGAAATTTTTTTTAAATACCAATAAAAAAGTTAAATCTTAAAAAAAATCCGGGTCTTGAGCAAATATTTTAAAAAAAGTCCAGGTCTTGAAAAAATATTTTTAAACCAGTAAGGAAAGTAGTAAAGTCGGACGGCCATATGATACCCTTCATCGCGGTTATATTCAACAGATGCATTATAACAGACGTCGCATTTTCGAAGAACCACTGACATGAAATTGGATGAACTAGATAGAGAATGAGACAAATTTTGAGCAAATCGAAGGATGTATAGGCACTTTGGTGCACCATTTACATAAAATCGGACGAAAATATAAATGGGAGATATATCTAAATCTGAACCGATTTTCAAGAAACTTAATACATATCATTCTGGACTTAATTACCCTGCACCAAATTTCGTGCCAATCAAAAGATATACAGGGACTTTGGTGCACCATATATATTAAATCGGACGAAAATATATATATGGGAGCTATATCTAAATCTGAACCGATTTTCATGAAACTTAACACACATCATTCTGGACTTAATTCAGTACGCTATGCCAAATTTCGTGCAAATCGAAAGAAATATAGGGACTTTGGTGTACCATATACATTAAATCGGACGAAAATATAAATGGGAGCTATATCTAAATCTGAACCGATTTTCAATAAACTTAACACACATCATTCTAGACTTAATTCAGTACGCTATGCCAAATTTCGTGCAAATCGAAAGATATATAGGGACTTTGGTGCACCATTTGCATTAAATTGGACGAAAATATATATGGAATCCACATCTAAATTTGAACTGATTTTCAATAAACTTAACACACATCATTCTAGGCATAATTCATTACGCTGAGGCAAATTTCGTGCAAATCAAAAGATATTAAGGGACTTTGGTGCACCATATACATTAAATCGGACGAAAATATAAATATGGGAGCTATATCTAAATCTGAACCGATTTTTCCCAATTTCATTAGGGTTCGTCCTTGGACCGAACAAGTTACGTATGACAAATTTCATCCAATTCGGATCATAAATGCGACCTGTACTTTGTTTACAATTTAACACCAACAAATTTTATCTGCGACTATTGTTAGGCCTTGAATAATTATTTAAAAAATTCTACCCCTTTAAAAAAAATTAAAGCCAGTGAGCGAAGCAGTATAGTCGGACGGGCCGACCATATGTACATAGTACAGCCGTTTTAATTAATTGTCCAGATTCCCTTCACCGTTGGTTGTGTACTGATGTTCGGCCTATGATTAGCATCGACTCAAAAACACCCACTTCAACCAATTTTATAATCTGATCATCACCGAAAATTATAGGCGTTGTCCGTGAACATAACTGGAGCCTGAAAATAGTATTCTGGATACTACTTAATTTTCACATTCCCATCTCTGCATTGAACTGCTTGTGTCGTCTATCAAATATGTACGTATGTGTGTTTGTGTGACAAACAGTTGAAACACTTGTCGGTTTATTTTTTTTCTGTTTTTATGTAATCGAGACGTGTACTACAACAAATGACACAACTGAGCAGACAATGTGTGTGGGTGGTAAGGACAAGTAAATATTTACAAAATGATAAAAAGAAGAAAAAAAGCCGTACATGTACGAACATGCATGAAAAAAATATAATTAAAGAGAAATTTATAGTGTGAATATTATACATTGAGGCTGAATAAGTAATCCTAATTAAATAAATAATCCTAATTAAAGAATTAAGGAATTAAGCAAATAGGATTTGAGCTCCTCTCACTACAAAGAGACCTTTGTTTGGAGGAATAACTATAAGGCTCTCACATTACTTATTGCTCTCTTAATGTAAACAGAAATCTCTATTAACTTTATAATCTCGTTATGATCCCCTCATCGCAGTTACTTAGCACCTACATTCACAGCATAATGAAGCCAGTCCTCTCAGAGTCTACTAAGACTCCCTTCTAAGAAAGCTCTTAATATAAACATAACCCTCTCTCTCTCACCCCATTATATTTGCATTGTGATCATCCCTTCACAGTTACTTCTTATAATGGACTATGTTTTCTCCTAGTTTCTCTTGGTAGATGTAATGTAAACAAAGCTTTCTCTGTATATTTTACGACTCTCTTCTCAGATGTTGAACTCTTAACATAAACCAAACTCTCTCCCAATCGACTTTGTGTGTGCTTGGGACATTGGTGGGCAAAATGTCTCATAAAAAATGTTTAAGGGAAAATTACAACAAGAATTATTTTGCGGAATTTATTTAATTTAATATTTTTAAAACGTAAATAACATCCCAGGAAGTTAAAATAATTAATTTATTAAAAAATTGTAGAAAAATTTTCATTATGTGTTATTTTTGTTTTAACATAAAAATTTGTTAAGAGAATGCATCAACGCTGGTGTGCAAGTCTGCCCAACTATGGCTTGGGATCATCCATTAATGTTTTTTTTCTTACTAACAGCAGATTTCTCTTTAAAGGTAGATATTTTCTCTTAAATGTAAATATAGCCTTCTCTTTGACTTACCTTCATAATCGATTCGCCCATCCTGATCTAGATCCGCTATGGCCAATAGCTGTGTCAACTGTGTTTCTGTCAGGGGTTCACCAATCATTTCCATGGCGGTTTGTAATTCATCACGGGTAATAAAACCATTGCCATCTCGATCAAATACTCTGCAAAAATAGGAAAGAAAAAATATAAATAACAACAAAAAATATAAACAAATAAATAACGCTAAATAAACAATGACATTTTAAAGTGTTGTTGAAAAAATAATTTGGAGAGGAGGGATGGGAAATAAAAAAAAAAACAAAAAAAATCTGTTAAACATTGTGGTGGCTTTCGAGCCAACATTGACGATGATGCCATCACCACAGATATCGACCACAATTCACACCCAGTTTTTTTTTCAATTGTTGTTGCTGCTGCTGCTTGTGAAAAGATTTGGTTTTTTTGTTCGTCGGATTTATATAACACCACACTTAATGGCCTTTCACGCTCAATGACAGACTAGGCAAATCAGAAAAACCACAGAGAGGATGAACGGAGAAAAAAGTACCGTTGTAAAACGCATTTTGCTACTGACATTGCCAGGCTTTGTGGTGAAGGATGTTTGTACGGGGATGCTTAACTTGGTTGACTGTCTGGCTGGCAACCTAACTGTTGGGTTGTAAAAGCTGACTCAAATGCTGGGTAATTTAAATAATGGGAAATTTTACACCAAACATAGACAGTTGATGAACAAACTGGCTGGATAAAATATAAGAAGAAATTTCAACTGATTTTTATTTTCAAGGGGTGGTAGGGGTGAATGGAAAGTTGAACTCCACAAAAGAACGTCAAAGATTAGCGCGGAACTGTAATATGACAAGGAGAACACCACAATGTTACGGAAAATGTTTGGTCCAATAAAACTATTTAAAAAAACTCCACGCCTTAGATAGATTTTGAAAAAATATTAAAAAAAAATCCAGGCCTTAGATAGGGTTGTTTTGTTATGTTCGGCTTAAAATATTTCAAAACCAAAAAGCGGTCCACTTCATCCTATATTATTAGCGCGGTCATCACTGTAAATATGACATTGTCCTTGACAATAACTGGACACAACATGGTGCTATGGATAATGTCTAGTGTGGTAATGGTTTAAAAACAACTATTAAAAAAAAAACCACAAAAATTAAATAGATTTCATCTCCTAAAAAATATTAAAAAAATCCAGGCCTTAACCCATCCTACATGCAAAAAATATTTCAAAACTGTGGCAGTATCGTGTTTACAAAATAAAATGGACAGACGGACGGCCGGCCGGACACACATGTCTAGATACTCAGCTAGTCAGATATACCACGAAACTCTTAAAGGTTCTGGATTTTTCGCGGCGTTACAAACTCTTGGGGCTGCACAAAGCTATAATACCCTGACAACATAGTTGTGTAGGATATAAATATGCCTAAACATATTTTTAAAACCAGTGAGCAGTATAGTCGGACGGGGCCGACCATATGATACCCTACACAACTTCTATAAAAATCTAACTTTCTGCGGTTCTATACGTTGGCATATGTTCCGAATATTACTAATGTTTAATATTGTCCTTCTAATTACTTTTTCATTTTCCATTCACCGTGGGATGTTTCGTGATGTTCGGCTTATAATTATGGCAAATAGATCGACTCGAAGAAACCGCAAAAAAAAGTTTTCGGTCCACTTCATCCTAATATTATTATCTGATCATTACCGAAAATTATGGGCATTGTCCTTGATCATAACTGGAACCTCATGGAACAGTTCAAAGCGATCAGCGCTATATTTCCGCCCTCTAGTGTGGGAATGGTTTATTAAATAATATCTGAATACGTAAGCACCTTAAATATATACGTGTAACTCCCACATTCGAGTACATACGACAATATAATTGGTATCAATTTAAAGGTCAGCCACTCCTCTTCGATATACTATCAACCTCTCGGGTCTATGTCCTTCAGTATAAAAAATATATATGCCATAGAATACAAATTTTGTCATTTTTCACACAAGAGTTAGGGTCAATTTGACCCGCTAAATATTGACCGATCTTTATTAAAATAGGCAAGATTATTCTTTGACCCGATCCCCTTCTCCATGTAAAAATTCGAGATGTTCGGTACATAATTGCGACCTGTTGAGCGACCTGAAAAACTGATAAAAATAAGTATTTGGCCCATTTCATGCTCTAGATATTAACAGATCTTTACCAAAAACAATAGGGGTCTTCATTGGGCCGAACCCTTCCTACATGCAAAGTTTCGTGAAGATTGGTTCACAAATGTGGCCTGTATCGTGTTTACAAAATATAATGGTCAGACGGACGGCCGGACGGACACACATGTCTAGATCGACTCAGCTAGTCGAGATATGACGATCGGTGTACTTAAAGGTGGGTCTAGGACAAATATTTCGCGGCGTTACAAACTCTTGGGGCTGCACAAAGCAATACTACCCTGACAACATAGTTGTGTAGGATAAAAATATGCCTAAAAATATTTTTAAAATAAAAATCCATGGCTTAATTTTCATTTTAAATACAGTTCAGTTATCTATCCTAATTTTTTTTTTCAAAAATGAATGTTTATAGCCAGTCCTTTTCTCATACATTATATTTCCTTCATTCCCTATCCACGTCTATGAAACCCTTTAAACATAGCCTTTTTTAAAGTCTAAATTCTGCTGTGACATTTAAATGTTTAGCCGGAACAAACACAGCACAAGTGTTTGCCATATGTTACCATACGCAACCACTTGTCACAGACAAATGCTTCAGGATGCAACAACAAAAACCACACGAACAAAAATTCAAAAAATTCTCCGCAAAAAAAAATGTGCATCCGTTTTGTGGCTTGTGTCATTATCAGATGCAGCAACTCTCAAATATTGGGGGGCAGAGAGCTAAACCACTGTGCCGCTATTCATTTCAAGTGGTTTCAATGGTCCAACGAACAATAGGGCCCCCCACACACACAGAAACTCACACATCCTACACACAGGATGATGACACACAACCACACACACATCTACTCAAACAGTTTACAAACTATTCAATTGGCGGATACATACCTAAATGCTGCAATTAAATCCTGGGTGACATCATCCAATTCATCGGGTTTGCTGGCATTTTCCTCTTGCTGTTGTTGCTGCTGGTGTTGTTCGTCGCGCAGGGCCTGTATGCGACCCACCCATTGCAGGAATTCCGCTTCATTTATTAAACCATTACCTATTATATCGAGGAGCAGCAGCAACATCAGGACATTCATCGGAGCAAAATTTTGCAATAACGTGTCGGCAAACATCCACGGCAGAGAGGGGGGATTATAAAAAAGGAAGAAAGAGAGATAGAAAACAAATGCAATTAAAACAATGAAATCGAAGCAAATAACTAAAATAGTTGTTGTCCCCTCATTACAAAAATGAAGTTATTTCCTATAACTTAATTAGAAAAAAGGGTGGAAAAAGTAATACAATGTGAAGGGGCAATGGAATTTTTGTGTGAGCGTGAAGGGAGCAAGAGTTTTTAATGAATTTCTTTTTAATTAAATTTCAATTAAATTTAATTTAAAAAATAAATATTTAACATTTTGTAGTACTTTGGACCATTAAGTGGAGCATTCTTAATTATGTTTAAAAAATCCATGCCTATAAGTGGAGCATTCTAAATTATGTTTAAAAAATCCACGCCTATAGGTGTAGTATTCTAAATTATTTTAAAAAAAAATCCACGCCTATAGGTGAAGCATTCTAAATTATTTTTAAAAAATCCACGCCTATAGGTGGAGCATTCTAAATTATTTTTAAAAAATCTATGCCTCTATTTGGCCCATAAAAAATATTTTAAAAATATTAATAAAACGTTTCCTACAACATTTTCTACTGTGTCCGAAATGGGTATATTTTTCCAACTACAACTGTGGCGTATGCTTTATGACAGCAGTTATACGCACCCAGGTCACTTGGATTTAAAAATAGGAAGTTATATTATATTAACAAAAAATAGGAATTTTAAAATTTGATTTCTAGCAGTATAGTCGGACGGTACGATACCCTACACAACTACCACGGAACTTTAACTTTCTGCGGATGTTAATTCCTAGCCTGGCAATATTTCGTGATATTTGCAACCTCTTGCCCGATTAAAGTGCTCTTCCTTACACTGACATATGTATATTACGAATATTCAGTACATGTCTTCTAATTACTTGTCTAGATTCCCTTCATCGTGAGTTGTGTTGTGATAATTCGACTCATCACCGAAAATTATAGGCATTGTCCTTGACCATACCTGGATTCTCATGGAAAATGTCAAAGCGACCAGCGCTATATTTCGCACTCTAGTGTGGTAATGAGTTACTAAATAATATATGAATACGTAAGTACCTGTAAATATTTAAGTGTAACTCCCACATCCGAGTACATACGACAATAAAATTGGTATCAATTTAAAGGTCAACCACTCCTCTTAAATATACTATCAACATCTCGGCTTCATGTCCTTCAGGAGTAAATATATACGCCATAGAATGCAAATTTGGTAATTTTTCACACAAAAGTCCGTATGTCCATTATAATTTGTAAACACGATACAGGCCACAGTTAGGGACAAATCTTCACGAAATTTTGCATGTAGGATGGGTTCTGGCCAATAAAGACCCCTATTGTTTTTGGTAAAGATGGGTTCATATTTAGGGAAATTTTACATGGAGAAGGCAATCGAACCAAAGAATAAGCATGTCTGTTTTGATAAAGATCGTCCAATATTTAGTGGACCCTGACTTTTGTGTGAAAAGTTACAAAATTTGTATTCTATAGCGTATATATTTACTCCTGAAGAACTTATACCCGAGAATTTGATAGTATATTCAAGAGGAGTGGTTGGCCTTTAAATTGATACCAATGACATAGTCATATGCACGTAGGTGTGTGTAAATACACATAAATATTTACAGGTGCTTAAGTATTCAGATATTATTTAATAACCCATTACCACACTAGAGGTGGCCCTGATCGCTTTGAAATTTCCCATGGGGAACCAGGTATGGTCAAGAGGACAACGCCCATAATTTTCGGTGATGATCAGATACAAATTTTGGGATGAAGTGGACTGAAAACTTATTTGTTTAGTGTTTTTTCGAGTCGATCTATAGGCCACAATTATAAGCCGAACGTCACAACCACGGTGATGGAAATATGGACAAGTAATTATAAGGACTGTACTTAATATTAATAATATTCGGAAAATGTGTCAGTATAAGGGAGAGGTGACCTCTAATCGGGCAAGAGGGTGTAAATATCACGAAATATTGCACATACTCGGAATAAACATCAACAGAAAGTTAGAGTTTCGTTGTAGCTGTGTAGGATATTGTATGGTCGGCTCCGTCCGACTATGCTGTTCCGCTCACTGGTTAGAAATGTGAAAAATGCCCTTAATTGGTAAATAATTTAATGCCACCATCCCCCCCCCCCCTAATTTTCGACGGTGGTCTTCTATACCTAGTAGGCTATCCCTTCCCTGAATAATAAGCTGTCTTTAAAAACTGTTAAGCAGTCCTTCTGTGGGTAGAAGGACAAATTCGCAGAAAGAAAAATTCAAATGATTATTTTTTTTTCGGCCGACTCTAACATACATGATGAAATACCTCAATATTGTGATTTGTGGCCATTGTAGTATTTTAAAGGTTAAATTTCTTCAGTTTTATCGAATAAGGTATTTGTTTGTAGAATATTTCGTCCTTTTAACTCAATATCTTGTATATCCTTTTCCTCCCTAATACATTAAAACGATCTCCAATTGTCAGAATATGTGATTTTTCTCGCAATCATCATAAAATTTTATGTGGGGTCCTCGGATTCGTCCGAAATATTTACTAAAAACGTATTTAGTTAGACCAAACAAGAAAGAACAGGGTTTCTAATTTTTTGAACGGGATATTCGGCTGATCTTCTATAGCAAATAGGTTGGTCTTCTATACCTAGTAGACTACGTTTCTGTGGATAATATGCTGGTTTTCTATACCTGGTAGGCTGCTCTTCTGGGGGTAGTAGGCTGTCCTTATATATCTAGAATTCTAGAAGTGTGATCTTTGTTAACTAGAAAACTGTCCTTCTATATGCTGGATAGACTGAGCTTCTGTGGATAACAATCTGGCCTTCTGTTGATAGTAGGCTGTCTTCATTTAGCCAGATTGCTGACCTCCTGTAGCTGGAAGTTTGGCCTTCTATAATTAGAAGTCTGATCTCTTATGCCCTTCTGTGGATGTAAGCTGGAACGATGGTCTCAGGTAGCTAGGAGGCTAGCAACCTACACTTAATAGAACTGACATAGCTAGAGGAACACATCAGGCCTCCGAAATGATTTTATTACATTAAAAAATATTTTAAACAAATCCATGCCTATTGGCGGACCATTAGAAATTATTTTTAAAAAATCCACGCCTTATGTGGATTATCACAACCTTTATTACTGTGTCCGAAATGGTTAATTTGCCAATTGTGACGTATACTTTATGACAGCAGTTATACGCACCCAGGTCCATTGAATTTAAAAATAGGAATTTATTTTATATTAAAAAAAAAATAGGAATTTGTAATTTGTCTTCTATTTAAAATTTGAATTCTATTAGAAAATATTTTAAAGAGAAAATAAAATATTCCGCATAACAGAACAAAGAAAATATTCTTTGCCAAAACAAGTATAACCAATGACATTTAACAAAGGGAAGAAAAAAAATATAAATTACAAAAAATGTTGCTGCTTTTCACTGTGACACAATCCTTCACAGTTGGTGGCATTTAAGTTTATTGTTTGTTTGTTTGGCTTGCCAGTTATTTTCTTTTCATTTTTTTTTATTTTGGCGCCATTAGGCTTTTCGGTGTTAAATGTAAAAAACACAAGAAGGAAACTTTTACAACAGCAACAAAAGCTATCAAGGTAATGCTCATGATACACATAAAAATTGTTTTTGTTGTAGTAGTTCTTGATGATGATTATGGCATGAAGAGAAAGCAACAACTATTACCCACTCAAATCTCAAATCTCGATGACATTGCCTTGGCTGCCTGCCGTTAGGATTTCTTTATGTGTATGTGTGTATGATATTCGAGACGCCAGATATCCAAAATGCAATATCAAGGACATTGCATTGAAAACCGGCATATGTATACATATATATTTGAGTACTCACAATTGTAGGAGGGGCGACTTAAGGATAAGTGTCCTTTATAAAAAAAAAATACAATATAAATAGCAAAAACCAGAAAAAAATACAAAAACATTTACCTTTGTTGGCAACTGTTGATGCGATTTTAAGAGATGATGAAATGTGATAGTTGGGCCAGATTATAGGCACTATGATAAAGGATACAGTGGGCATTTTTAAAAAGATTGGAAGAGACAGCAACACTTGGGTACCAAAAACCACCATCAAGAAATCCATGGTACGATCAGGAGTGTCGTAATTCAACTGATGCGAAAAACGCATGGTATAGGGCAGCCCTGCAGACAGTAGCAACACGTAATGTAATGGAGAATTGTCGAGAGCAAATGGGAGAGGAGAAACGTGTTTTCAGAAAAAAAGAAGAAAGAACAAGAAAAACGTGAGCGTGAGCAAATTGAGATGTATAGGAGTCAGAATGAGGTCCGGAAATTTTACCAACGAGTAAAACACCAAACTGAAGATTTTGGTGCAGGCACATCCTCCTGTAGAGATGAAGTAGGAAACCTGGAGACAGATACAGACATCTTGTTGAGGATCTGGAAGGAGCATTTTGAAAAGCTTCTGGTATCAAATAGTGGCGGTGAAGAGGATACCCCATAACCAATAAGAGATGATGGTGTAGAGAGTATGCCACCTAGCCAAGATGAGGTCATAAAATCAATTAATCGGCTCAAGAACAATAAAGCAGCAGGAGCCGAAGGGTTACCAGCCGAACTATTCAAGACTGATGGTCAGATGCTGGTCAGGAGCATGCACCAGCTGATTAGTACAATTTGGCTAGAGGAATGCATGCCCAATGATTGCAAACTCAAGGAGTCTGCGCCAAAGTGGGTCTGGCGAGAAGACCAAGCTGATGGTATCAACGCCCAAGACGTCCAGCAGACTCGGACCAACTGCGGAACCGGAGAACTACAGCTTCGAGGTAGTTAAAGATTTTATATACCTTGATACCGCCATAAATAAAACGAATGACATCAGTTTTGAAATTCGGAGAAGGATTGTGATGGCCAACAGATGCTACTATGGTCTATGTAAGCAGTTTA